TGGCGACGCACTTCTAAATCTTCAACAATTTTCTCCAACCGTTCTTGTCTAATTTCTTGATTTTCTAAAATTTTCTGAATATGGTCCTGTTCTTCTTGTCTTTCTTTTGACGTCGCTCCTCCAAGCGAATTTCTAGATTTCCTAATATTTTCTCAAGCCGGTCCTGTTCTTCTTGTTTATCTTTCTGGCGACGCACTTCTAGATTTTCTACAATTTTCTCCAACCGTTCTTGTCTAATTTCTTGATTCTCCATAAGCATTTTCTGTAGTTGGTCTTGTTCTTCTTGACGTCGTAGTTTTTCCTCTTCTTTTTCTCTTTCCAATCGGGCTCGTTCCTCTTCTCGTTCTTTACGGAGTCTTTCTTGTTCTTCTGCCTTCTCTCTTGTCATATTCTCCATAAAATCGCCCAATAGTTTGCTTACTTCCTCCATTTTCTTCGCTTGCTCCCTTGTACCAACCATAAAACTACTCCAATTCGGTCTAAAAATCTTCAAATCCACTTAATTTCTTCTTAAAATCCTCTTGAATCGCACTTCCGACACCAATTGTTACGGATTCCGTGGGTCCACTAATTTAAACTCACGATAAAATACTTAACGAATTTATTTTCTCACTTTATACACAATTACTAACTTATAACACACAACAAACTAACTATTTATAAGATTCCTTCACCAAATTGTCCGTTTTTCAATTTCCACGCGGTATATTCAAATTTCAAAAACTGTCTCAGTTGTCGATGGCTCCGGCTTATATACTCTATTGACTGCTTCTCGAAATTTCCCCAATTCTCGGAAAGCGTACTTCTTCATACCAGACAATTCCATTGTCTGATTCCCTTACTTCTCGACTTGACTAAAAGATGGCGCCTGAAAAAGTCTTTTAATTTCTGGCGGATACGTTGCGGTTGTGCAGGCAACCAGTAATACATTTTTAATTTCTGGCGGAGACGCCATTTTTCTTGACAGTATGAACGTTTCCGGTTTCCGGATATATAAATCTATTTTCAAAAAAATATTTTTTATTGAATTTTAAACTACCTACACCATATAATTTTTTACTCAATATAAAAATAACTTACAACCTTCTTAAGGCCAACTGGCAGTAAGCGCAATTAAAAAATAAAAAAGAGGACGGGCCAAGTAAATGACGTATAGGGCTTGACCTCGCTAAAATTATTATCGGTTGTCGTTCCGTCTTTGGCACCGTTTTTTTTTTCGTCAGCCGTCTTTGGCGCCGTTTTTTTTTTCGATCGTATGGTACAACAAAATATCAAAAGGAAAAAAAATCTGACACATATAATTAGAAATCGAAAAGAATTTTCACACATTTGAATGAAAAATAATCTTACACAATTATTCTGAATGGATTTTAATTTAGTAAAAAGGGAATAACAGTCGACATTTCGTATAAAGGCATCCACATTTGCTCACCCAGTACATGTGCGTCTAATTTGAATTGCGAAAAAGATACTGGCAACTACTTTTAAAACAGACGAGTTCAAGGCAAACCTATTACCGTATACTATTCTGGGATATAACAACATACCATACAAACTAAAAGCTTTAAATTGTTAAAAACTCGAGTAAAAACTGTTCCTCGAACAAGAGAGTAGTGCAGTCATAGATTAGATAGGATAAGTTATTATGTGATTCTTCTTAATTATTACGATTGATTTTTAAAAACAAAACACAAAGTTTGAATTAATGTAGTATATTCTGATTTTTAGCCGACCATACCAATAGGTATGGTAGGCTATTAAGATCGGCAAAAAAAAGTTTTTTTTAATTTCACTCAAAATGAGTTATTTGGGTCATAAATGACCTAAATACAAAATATTTTCATGGTGTCTGTCTGTCTGTCCTTCTGTAACACGATAACTCAAAAACCGCTAAACCGATTTTAACCAAATTTGGTACAAAAATACTGTGGCACCCGAGAATCTGGCCATTAGTTTTTGGTGAGAGAGGGGGGTTGGTAAGGGGGTATGGGAGGGGGTTAAAAATTTAAAAAAATCGTAACTCCAAATTACAGTAGCTAGCGAAACGCGGTTTTCAATATAAGATTAGGAATAATATTTGAAACAAAATTTGAAAAACATCAAAATCAGGCAAAGTCGCAGTTTTTGAGATAAAAAAAAATTGGAAAATTCCTTTACTTTGAAACTAAAAGAACTAGGCAACTTTTTATTAACATATTTTAGTATAGGCGCCAATTTTTTTTATCCGTTATTAGATACTGCTTCCAACTTCCAATGTCATACAAGTTGGTTAAATTTCTCTAACTAGTCATCCTAAATTTTCATTATTACTAAATTATTAAGCAGGAATTCCCATATTGGGTTAAAATAAAAATCATAGAAAATATAGTCTTTAGAATATGTAAAGCAGAAAAATCCTATTTGGAAATCCCATTTAAGTAACACTATATTTATGCTATTAAATTTCGTTTAAAACCAATTAAATTATTTTAATAAAATAAAATCATAAACAAATTAATTAATATGCCTTGATAACCTTCACCAAAAATACTACCTACAATGCTGTATAATTTTTTGTATCAAAAATGTTGTACGATGCAATTCATTTTTTTAATTATAAATAATTTCTTGTTTATAATAAGTTATTATTTACATCAACAGATTTGTTTTAATTTGTTTTATGTTCTATGTCCAATGTGAAAATAATAGACAACATTAATAAATTAGGTTTTTAGAAAAATGCCGAATTGCAGATGCATTTTGTGGCATCTACTTATACCTATGCATATCTCATGTAATATTATTAATATTTTAACATATTTTGATTTATGTACTATTATTTTCATTTTTTAATAACAACTCATGCTGATTAGTGACTCCTTAGATAAGTAAAGATAAACTTTATGTTGGATTTGGTAATATAGTGTGCAATTAGAAAATGTATTTTATTATTGTTTATATCAAAAAAGGTCAAATAAATATTAAATAGTATTGTTAATTTTACTTAAAATTATGCCAATTGTTACTTATAATTATCGTTTTGCTTGAAAAATAATTTAGAAAACAAATATATTATTATCCTGTTATTTTTATCTATCATAGGGTAACCTGTAGTAAGATAAAGAAAGATATCTACATACATACCGGGTGTTTGCAAAACTGGCTCACCACTACAATTTCTTTATGTTTTCAAACAAAAAAAAAATATTTGGTATGTGAGTATACCTATGACATACATAAATTAGGACTGATTGACATATTCAACTGTGTTCGGCCACTTCCTGTTTCACCGGAAATGACTACAACTTTTGATTTTTAAAGACACCTCGGTATTTTTTTACTTCATTTGATAGAAAATGAATTTCTGAATAAAAATATCAACTTTTGACACTTTCAATTAAAAAAAATAGCATTTTAAATTTCAATTTAGTGCTATGGTCATAAATATAATAAAAATTAACTCGAATTACCAAGTGTGGTACCAAATTATTCGTAAAAAATGCTTTTTCAAATTATGCTAATGAGCCACACTCGTTCCATTTGAAAAAATTGAGTTGTGATTAAAAATACGATTTGGGCATCCTTTAATCAACCAGGATAATACACGAAAAACATTAGACGATCAAATCTATTTTTCCAAGGCTCCTTGATTAAACATTAGTGTTTTTAGTTGATATATGATACGTCATTCTAATCAGAGATTCAAGAAACACTTCAGTTTTTTTCGAATAAAGTAAAACAATACCGAGAGTGCCATTTAAAAATCAAAAGATGTAGTCATTTCCGGTGAAACAGGAAGTGACCGAAAACAATTGAATACCTCAATCAATCCTGATTATGTCACATACTATCGTATGTAGGATGAGCCACTTTCGAGAAACACCCGGTATAAAAATCTTCGGTTTTCGTTGCTTATTCAAATCACAAAAGTACTACGTGAAGCAAAGCCTAGCAAATAAAAATCTGCAAGGAGAAAGTTGACCTCACAAATTATTTGGAAATATCCTCTGTCTAACTTTATTTAAAAAAAGTACAATATAAGAAATAAAAACTAGTATTAAGATTCCATAATTTATATTTTTACAAATAATACGTAAGTACCTACTACTGCAGAATATAAGTACTCTGTTCAGTTAATTCAGTATTATTAAGTACACATACCTATAAGAAAATAATTATTGTTTCTATTTGTGGCATTTATAGATGTAGATGTAGATATAATTTATAAATCAAGGTTTAGGAGCATACCTATAGACAATAAGAAATATTTTAATTGCATTTCAAGGTTACATTTTATGTCTATTATAATGATAGATAAATGCAAAGAATATTTTTCTAAGTACCTAACATATTGGTAATAAAAAACAAATATTGCATATCAAATTAAAAAAGGTATATGTACAAATATTGAATCAAATGTTAAAATACCTATAAAAGATTAAAATATTTGTGAATTTATAAATAAAAGCAGCTAGGTATCTGATAGAGTTTAGAAGTACATACAAAAATATTAAAAATTTATAACAATCAATATTAGACAACAAATGTATTGGTATTTTCCTATTGAAAAAATCAAGAATAACCTGACCATTTCTTAGTAAAGGTAGGTATATTTATGTAGCTTTTATGTAACTTAAATCTACCTAAAGTATACTTGCAATATTGCATAATATACCTGTATCAGGTGCGACATTTAATAATATAAATGGTAATTTATAAAAATAAATAACGATACAAATTAATAGATTTCCCATTTCATAACTACATATTGAATAAACTGAAGAGATAAGAAGAGTTTTTCTTACTTTCTACCTATTTCAATTGGGGTTTCTTTCAAATAATTTTGAACAAACGATTATTTTATAATATCTAAACAGTAGAAGTAAACAAAACTATCGTGTTACAATTAGTATAATGAACAATTTTTATAAATTAATGAATTAAAAGAAATATAAGTAGATATTTTAATTTCCTTTGAAAATTCTATCATTATAATGTACATACCTAACCTAAAAACTTACCTTTAATAATTAAAAAATAACACTCAAACTTAATAAAACTGAAAAAAAAAACTATTTAAAAAGTACAACTAGAATCAAACGAAATAATTAAAACACCGCATTTGACTGACTACGGATGAAGGGAAAGTGTTTTCATTTTCAATGAGAAACTTGTATTTCCATCTTTTAAATCAAGTCAATCCACAAGTCAATCCCCTGATCTCCACCTAGTTGTGAAAGTTAGAAATAAAATTAAATGCATTAATAATACAGTTTCAATATTACGCGCAAGAGGCGCTAGTAAGAATTCTTTTATCTGTAAGAATTTATTCTCATTATATCCCATAATATAATAGCTTTAATATATTACATATTTATAACATGTACTAAATATTTAAATAAAACTTATTAAACATTTGAAACAAACTGTGTGTTATATTTTTGAATAGAATATTTTCAAATGTAGCGACATCTGGCGGAGCTAGCAACCTATAATTTTACAGGATTCTACAGTTAGAGATACCTGTAATTTAAAAGTTAAAAGAAATGTTTAATTGAAATAAATAAATCACTGAATAAAATTTAATTCAAATTAAATTTACATAAAGAAAATAAATATAATTATGGGATATGTGTGAGGTAAGGTAGTTTTATATATACCTAGTTTTTTTCTCTAATTGCTATAGGCAACATACAAATCATATTTTAATTTGGTTAATTAATAACATTAATATATAATTATTGTAGATTTTTTGTCATACACTTTTTTAATAAAACACTTTTATTTTATTATGAAATACCGTTTGTGTTGTTGGAATAAAACTCAGACAATTTATGGAATTGTAATATAATTTATTTATACATTTCTATAATACATAGATATTTAATTCAAAAAATTAAACAAAAAATACTCTTCAAATAAGAAGGGTTAACAATTATATAAAAATCAATATAACTTTGCTTCAACATATTTTTAAAAATCATCAAATTCATTGTTTTTCAAATTTACCTCCATGGTCTCAATCGCATTATCAAAATTGTTAAATCTTAAGGCCTATTTCCTGGAACTTCTCCACAATCTTCTGAATAGGATTGGTTGATTTTTCTTTGTACTTGAATGATGTGATCCACTGTCATTTCCAATATGTCAACAATTTGATATTTTCCACTCCTAGGACCATTTTTCTTCACTGTTAGTAAATCGGGATCGCAGTTTAATAACATCTGCTTCAATGAGTCCAAATTTGATTTAACTTTTCGCTTTTTTAGTATTCTTGCGGTTGGTTCAGTTTTTTTAGATTTACTGCCTGATTGAGATGATGGAACGACTGTCATTGTTTTTTTACTAGATATAGTAAATTAAATAAGTGATAATAAATCAGAATATTAAATAAAAAAAACTAAGATTGGTCAGTGCGAACGGTCAAGACGCCAAGTCGAGAATGAGAAGCTGCCTCGGAATTATGAAATACTCTTTATAAAAAGATCCCCTGTTGGGATTTTTACCTACCGAAATATGGATGTGGACGGGCCATCTCGAATTTACAATGGCACGTTTTTACAGTCTAATTTTATTTGGTGCCATAAACCGGATCGCATCTAGTACGTGCGGGGATCATCAAAGGGCCGTATAGATTTAACAGAGAAGGTTGTTTTAAATACACATTATGACTGTCTAAAGAACGCTAAATGTCTCCAAGGGCCGAGGAAGATATTTAACATTTAAAAATATGTCATATATGTTAGAGGACCATATCGACTTGGAGCCTGTAATTTCTCCTAAGTCTTGATAGGCCAATTTGTCAGAGAAAGAAAATTATGTTTTTGTTTTTCTAATTTTCCATGTTATACAGGGTGAGTCTTAAATAAGTGCAAACATTTTCATGGGTGGTATATTTCGACCCCAGGAACATATCTATGAGGTTTTTTTCGCTAAAAAAAGATGTTGAAAATTGTGCATTTTCTTCTAAATTCCCCTGTATATTTTTCGAAAACTTTTTAGAACAGCCTCACGGTGGGGTATTAGCATGAAAAAGGTGATCGAAATTCGAAAAAGCAAATGTGTTTAAGATTTCCCAAAAAAAGATAAATGATAAGTTAAATCATGTCTGCCATGAATGGCGTTGCTATGGGTGTGTTTAGTTGCATTCATTTGTTTCAACGAAACGTCAAAGTTGTTACTTCTCACAGATAAGAGGTAAATGGCTATTTTATGTTTAAAATTATAAATTGTTGTTGTTCTTGTGCTCTTTTTACGTTTATATTATTGTTTTGATTGAAAACGGATCGGCAAGCTGCAGGTATGTATTCTACAAAAACGTATTATTTATTTTGATATTCTCTATACTAACGATTTTTTTTGCAATTAAAAGTTAGGCGTTCAGAAAATCTGATTAAATTTGTGACATTTTTATTATACTTAGAGATTTAGTTGCGCATTTCGAAGAATTCAGCATATTGTCTATATACGTTTTACTTAGTAAACATTGGGCTTTCATACAGTAAAATAAAATACTGCGACTTTTTGCGACTTTGCACCATATAAAATGAGAAAAACATTCTTGGTTTCCTCTAATTTGCCAATCAGTGATATACTAATGCGAGGTGTAAACCGCGATGGCATTGTTGTGTACAAAGCAATCGCATTAGTGCCATTAGCAGTATAGCACAATTTGGCATTAGTAGCGACTTTAGTGGTATGGGCATTGCACGCTGATCTGTCGTAGCATTAGTAGTATTAGTTGCGATATTACTACTGGCATTAGTGGCATTGACCGTGGAAATACTGGAACAGTGATTTTTCTTTCTTTTTTTAGAATCGACGAATTATCCTTTGTTTTGTTCATATTATTTCCTCTTTAATTGAAAATAGCAATAATTTATATAAGGTCTACATAAAAAAATTTCGATCAACTATCTGTGTCAAATACCCCACTGTGAGCCTGTTCACAGCAAATTTTCCCACGGTATAATTTCTTAAACTCTGATATTACCATAGTTACGGCTTTACTCTATGGTTACGGCAATAAAAGGGATGCAAATACAGAAAAAATCCGGAGGCTCTCAAATTTAAAAAAAAAAATATTTTTTTTTAAATTTCAAACTTAAATAACTAGGTTATTTTGGACACATCTGAAAAATGGTAAAGAGAAAATATGTTTCTTTTATCGAGATCTACGAGTCCTGAGAATATCTGCACTTATTTAAGACTCATTGCATTTTTTATGGATATTTGTCATTATCGCTATGTTTATTTGCCAACACAGATTAAATAATTGACATTATTTTTATTTTATAATTTTATTAGGAGTAAAATTACTACAGGGTGTTTCAAAAAACATGTGCCATCTTTCGTGGGGAGATTTATCACGTAAAAATAAGAGGAGGTTAAAGTCTTCATTTTTTTTCGTTTTGTTATCATTTTCTTCCAAGTGCTTTTAGCGATTCGGATGAAATTTGTGGGATAAAAGTTACTATGAGTGCTACATATTTTAATGTTAAATAAAGTGTCGACAAATTTACCAGGGATCTGCATATGAGCCTATGAGTTACTAACTCTATAATTAAATGTTTTTTTTATCACGGTTTACAATATATTTTTTATTTTTATTTATATTGTATAATATAAGTATACCTATTATAATATATTTATAATATAGAGAAAACAATTTTTTGGAAATAGATTTGTGTCTGGGAACGTTCTATCCTTTTTTAATCTCTCTATTTTTAGTAAATGACGCCTAGAAATTGACCACGCTAAAATTATCATCGATTGTCAATCCCAGCCGTCTTTGAAACCATTTTTTTTTATCATACGGTATAATTACGTGGAATTTCTTACATTCAAAGGTCGAAGATTGGGTTTTTCAGTAAATGACGTCAGAGATTGACCGCGCCAAAGTTATCATCGATTGTCATTGCCCATCCGTTATTGACGCTATTTTTTTCTATCATATGGTATAATTACATGGAATTTTTCACAGACTAAATCGTCATTCAGAATCTCGCAATTAGTGCAATAAATTAGTGGTTTCAATTGCACTTTATACTTTTTAGTTCACGATCATTCACAATGTCTAAAAAACACAATTAAAATTAATAGAATATCCTAGCAACAGCTTCCAGTAGTCAGTTGTACTGTGGTTGTATTCATAGGGAAAGCCTAATATTTAGATTATAAAACAATAAACTTTTGATGTCTAACCAAATTTTGCCTTAACGTATGATAATCAAAGACCAAAATGACATTCGCTGCAAATTTTGAAGTATAATTAGTGGAAAAGTTAAAAGTTTGTTAACTTTTTCCACTAATTGAAAATTACTACCACTAATTTTGATGTTCTGCATGCTTATATTGAAATTAGAGGAACAAAATTCTACGCTGTTTGAAACCACTAATTTATTCCACTAATTAAGAGGTTCTGAATGAAGCTTAAGAGTAATATAATCTAAGGGATTTTCTACAATCATAAGTCGGTGATGCAACACTCGGTTATCATGTTGGCAGTGTATAATTTTTTTAAACGAAAAAAATTATACACTGCCCATGTATTTAATGTTGAATATATTTTGTTATAGTGAGCCGATTTTGATGTCTTCATCTGTCTATTATACGAGGGAAAACAAAATGATATTTTGGTAAAAGCTTGAAACATTTTGTGAAGTGGTTCAACAAAGTAAAGAATTTATAAAATATCTTTATCGTTAAGCAGCTATATTATAGGAGCTATAGATGGCTTGTTTAGTAGATTTGGTCTAAAACATATCAAATTAACGAAATTTTGAATAGATTTTGTCGAAAAAAAAGAACACCGAAATGTAAAAAATACTTTCTCATATTGAATAATATAATATACCCTTGAATACATAATATCACCATCCCCGTTTTTTAGATAAATAGTGATGAATAAAGACGCGCGTACACATTCACTTGATCTGAAAAGCCCTATATCTTGAATTACAATTCCACGCCTCCCTTTTCCGGTGTTTTGTGCTTGCAAAAAATCGTTGGCCTTTTTTCCTGCCGCCTTTATATCACAAGAAATAAATAATTAGACGTTTTAGATCAAAGTTAATATCTTATGAACAAACATAAAATAACAAATAGGTCCTCTTTATACAATAGTTTCTTTAAAGAAATATACTTACATGAATATAAGCAATACCAAATAAACTTTTAGTTACGTCATCGGGGGCGCGAATATTAGATAAATTCAT